GGGATGAAGCCATACGAATTTGATTAAAAATATGAAGAGCCACTTTAATGAAATTCGTTTGTTCATTCCTTACTCATTTGCCTGAGAATCCCCTGAAAAGAGTCACACGTTTCAAATGTATCTGCGCCCATTCCCAAGATTCACTTAGTGATATTTTATTGGCGCTATGTTTCGCTGCAATCTTTTTATTTGTCCAGTGAAATAACGAACGAGAATATCGAATGTATTATTATCGAAGTCACGGGATGACCAGACTGTGGAGCTCCTGTAGGCATGTCGTTGTTTCGACTGGAAGCTGTGTTCCACACAAGTCGTTCAGGACTGCAATTCTGCTTCCTGGTCATGACCATGTCTTTAAGTTCTTCGTGAATTGACGTAATTCGGCTCAGAAATCATTCAGTTCACAACGGAAGCCACGCCGAAATTACTGAAAATAGCAGCACTTGCTTCCGGATAATGCAAATGATAGTGCGCTGAAACACGCAAGTGGTGCAGTTGTGCAACCGTTGTGAGAATTTTAATCCTCATTATAAAGTGATGGTGAACCCAGGTAAAAACCTGCTGGGCAACTTGTTCCATAGCGCAGGCATTATAAAGTAACAGAAAAACAGATGAGAATTTAAAGCTGTGGCAACCGACTTGACCGCGGTTGTTGCAGCTGACGACAATGGGAGGCAAACTGATCCCTCAGTTATAGGAAAGGAACTATATGGATATTTATGGCATCAGAATGAGGAAAGTGCAAATACCGAATATCTGAGAGAGAAGCACGAAAGGCTTCATCAATAGCTTTTCTTGCTTACGCGCACTGCGGTGAACAGCGGACATCGCCATCGCTTTGATGATATCACTCACGACAGGTGCGACAAGATACACTTTGTGAGCATGCAATCCATGCTAGAAAACAGGCTGTGATGCTACCACGGTAATGCGGAAAGTCCTTCATCTCGAAGTCCTTTGTTAGCAAATATAGACATAAACTATTGCACAGGAGGTCCCATTTGCGCATAGGTTTTCAAATCAGAACATTCTCAAAAATTTTCTTCAGCTTCAATGCTTCTTCATGAAATATCATGCTTTTAAATCGGTTCCATAAGTTTCTCAACAAACTTCACCTCCCATTAGACACTGAGCGGAACCTGAAAAAGAGAGCAGGGTTTTCGCTTGTTTAATCAGTATTATGCGCCTGTACATTGGGACACCCGAACATAGAAGGGAGGCCATTTAGTGTCCGCGATTAATGCATTCATCCCGAAGGCCCATTTACACATGTACATTCCTTAATTGGTGGTGGATTGTGCAGGCATTTAGAGGAGCATAATTTTTAAACCGAATTCATATGGATTACGTGAAACCCTTAACCTTAAGGACAAATTCCCGTGGACCAACGTGGTGGGGGAGGGTCTGTGAGTGTCGTATATACTCTGCTGAGTGGGTAATTGAGACGCACAAACCGTTAGGCCTCTCTGGGGTCCAACTTCTCTCTGACAAACCCAGAAACGGTAGCTTCTTACTTCGAGTGGCAATACAGTCAACGAGCACGCATGAACAATCTACGAGGTTCTTTCAGGATTTGTTGACATTTAGAATGGTTTTACAGGGAATATCTTCCAAGAGCAAGGATGTTATCCTTGGTGATTTGGTGATCGTAGTTGCCGAAGTCATGACCAATCTAGTCAAGGGACACCAAGATTGTACAGCTCCGGTACACAGAACCTGACTCTTGACTGAATGTGGAACTGTGGTCCACACAAGTCCTTCCGGACTAGAATCATGCTCCCTGTTCTCGGAATAATGCATCCCAATACTATTGGGATAACTGATACTCCCCTAAGTGAAGATTATCCTACACACCCCGCTTGCCTTCGTTGTCCTCCATGCCTCACTCTGCCCGTTTTCCTTAATTCACGTGTCATTTGTGTTCTCATTCAGGCCGATGTTTTCCACGCGTATCAAATCGTGCGTAAAAATAACGTTCCAGCGGAGAATATAATTACCTTCGCCTACGACGATATTGCAAACAATCCCAAGTAAATATCACGTATAAATTTTTCTATTCGATAACAGCTACAATAATTAAAACGCTTTTTGTTGTTTGACTTTGAAACGTCTCATTGTTGAGCCATATTTCTCGTAGATGTAAAACATGAATAAAATTTCGGTGCGGAGGTCTAGGAACTTGCCTGCTTCATGTGATGTATTTCCTCTTTTTTCATGGGTTTTCACGACTGTAAACGCCACAGAACCCCGATACAATCAGTGCAATCGATGGTTTGGAGCGAATATTAAATAGACATTCTAGTAAGCTTAACATTTTCTACTAAATTCGATTGCCAGCATAAGTAAAAGAAACCTACTGAAGACATGGAATGTTTGATCTCGCCCGCGGTTTCTGAAAATCCTAAGTCGTTCATTGCCCGATCGAATTTCATTTAAGGGCACTGGATAAGGAGATGCTCATAACATCTACTACTGGTGGTGTGTTAATGTAAATTTACCTTTTCACACGAAGTTTGTCATTTTGTTTGTTGTGCCTCCTATCAGGATCATTGTAGGATACCTTGCTGATTTCTGCCTAAAGGATTATTAGTTAGTCAAATGTATGCCGGAGGGTTCACAAATCGTCGTTAAAATTTATTCCAAGGCAATCGCGGGAACCAACTTTCAACACAATTTATTAGCCTCTCGTTTTTTTTCTTTCCGATCAACGAGTTAATTTCTCTCAAAAAACCCTCTGCCACTTTTCATTCTTTCATTCCAGAAATCCGTTTAAAGGTGAAGTGTTCCATGACTACGTGCACGAAGATATCTATCAAGGTGTGAAAATTGACTATCGTGGAAAAGTAAGTGCGAGTGTCGGTACAAATAAATTTCTGCATCCGGTTACCGTGGAACACAAGGTGCAAGTAAAATGACACTACGTCACAAAACAGAATACAAACCGCAGGAGAGATTAATAAGATTCACTATATTGCAGAATGGTAAATGAACTTGAACAAACTCTAGTAATAAGGTCACGGAGAACTCTCAGGCAACTCATGACCGAGTCCACCCCACTGCTTTTGGCCTATCAAGTAGGTTAGCGTTCTTACAAAAAACCACGAAAGCAAACGGCGACCATCAGTGCACAAATAGTTTTCTCCGCGGAAATACTCTGCGGTATCTTGAACGCTGCACCAACCAAACCAAGCAGCGCGTCCAGAGAGCAAATTCAGCTAGAGAATATCGTAAATTAGACCATCCACTGTGATTCAGTTCAGTGCTGGTGAGTGGTACTCACTTCAAGATAGCGGCTAATTATATTAATTGGCTACCGAGGTAATGCTAGTTCTTGTTCAACTCAACTGCTAACACTTTGCTTGGCAAACAGACCAACAATCGAATTCATCAGTTTTCAACATACAGCGACCATCGTGGAATTAATATGAGTGAAGATGGTGAGCAGCTCCTAGATTTCAATTATCTATTAGGCTGAAAGTGGATGGTTACTGGGAATAGAATGAGTGTGGAGAACATTATTGTAGCAGGAATAATTGGTCATGCGTGTTCATCTGTTTTAGGATGTCACACGGGATAACTTCGTGAAAGTATTAAAAGGCGATGAGAAACTTGCAGCCAATAAGAAGAAGGTGCTCAAAAGGTGAGTTTTCGCGAAAGTGGATATTGTTGATGCACTTGCAGATCGCAACTAGAATCCTACTGTTCCAGGTCAGACTTTTGGGTTTGACGAAATAGGCGTTTGTATTCTCGTAAGCAGCTTGATACATTACCATGTGAAGTGAAGCTCCCCGAAGTCAGTCAAAAAGTTTGCCAAACTTTGAGTGAAAACCGTTTTTTTCCAATCTCAGACTATGCGGTATTATTATATCACATTCATATGTCAGGTATACATCGTTTGGATTTGCAATTGCGGCGCAATCCGTAATCACCCATTATTTGTGCGCGTTTCCTGAGTAACCGATGCTTCGTTGGGGAGGCCATGGGATGGATGATTAAATATATTCCCAGCACCCGCACGCCCATTTGAGTTAAAGGTGTTAAGAACACAATAGCTTGAAGTGGGGAGTTCCCGCATTCACCCTACCCTCTACAAACCACACATTCCTGAAATCATCCGCAAAGTAATAATGTGTCAATAGCACTGTGTTGAATGTCACCTAAAATATATAATTTTCAAAATAAAAAACGTCGAGCTCGACGGTTGCCCTCCTGATCAAAGACCAGCAATCAGAACCTATCCAGATTAGTTTCACATACAAACATATGGCCCCCTGGATATCCCGGTTGAAAATGTAGGGTCGGCTCTGTTTTGTTAAGATATTTTCATGCGCAGATATAGTCATGCTAGCTAGATTATGATTTCCAAATAGGGGAGCGTAACCTTTCCAATGGTACGACGATAAAAACAACTGGAGTATAAAACTGCCTTCAATCAACTTCATGCAATCAAAACCATAGGAGCTACTATACTACGTGATGTAACAATAAACCAACGGACGTCCAAAAATCCAATTTTCATTCCCGCATTCATGTGGCCTTCCAAAAAGCAGAACAATCAAAGTTAATTTGACTACCGATTATACCCAGTAGCGTGGACAAATCAATATTCTGCCCGAATTGTTTGCTATCTTCATAGTTCTGCGGCTTTTTGCTGTGCCTTGGTTGCGCCACTCAATAATCTGCTCTTCAAGACCAACTTATTATTTCTGCTTACTTACAGTGGTCCGGATGACAACGTGTTCATCTTCTATTCTGGGCATGGTGGGGTTTCCTTTATTACCTTGTTGGAAGAAGAAGTAAGTTTAGTAAATTTTGGTATTCACTAGAGTTTTCAATAGGAATCTGAATGAAGGACGGTTTGGAGGGCTTCGATAAACAAATGTTGGCACAATGGATTATTTTTTATAAAAGGGAATGTAAAGTCAAATTGGCCTACACATCAACCGAAAAATGGAACACAAGCTACGAGTTTCGGACGTGTATCTCAAAAGCGATATCCCGAGCAATTCAAGCTTAGTAGGCTTCCTCTAGATGCTCTGAATGTTAGCGTCATTATTTCGTTTTAATAGATTAGGTCGCTCAACTCACATGATTTCGGGGTCGATCAATTTAGACTTCTGAGCAAACGTAGTTACCGTAAACAAAAAAGCCGGTCGTTTACGGTCACTCATGACGAAATCGTCAGCTAAAGTCTTCCTGACAAAACAACATGCTCCATTTTATATTTAGAGAAACTGGGCAAATCATTGGTAGCACAAAAATGTTTTCCTATTTCTGTATGGGAAACCAGTCTCTGCGGAAAACCCGGGAAGCAATTTACAGTGGTTCCATCCTCATTATGATCGGTCAGCAGTGCGCATATGTGCAATTGAAAAGGTTAGGCCACGGGATATTAAATACCAGCCTCATTTGCCCGCACTTGATCAGGTCATAACGTCAGTCATTCTTCAATCAAGGGATCCACACCACTGATAACTGACTTTTCGAGTGACAACATTTATCAAATGGAAAAATCCATCCGTCGTGTGAATTAGTGTTCCTGTTGAATCACTTACAGTCTATTTGTGGTGAGACCGCATTTGAAAGTTTTCAGTTCTTTGAACACAGCTCTGAATTTCGCGAATTTGATTAGGGTTCAAATACTCTCCATAGACTGGGAAGTGTGACAAATGTTTGAAAACGCCGGTAAAATTGACATTCTGAGTGACATAACAATCAGTCGTTCGAAGTGGACATTTATTTTTCTGACTCCGTGACTGATAGTTTATTCACTCTAATAATGGACCTTGCGTGCCCTTTTCAAGAGAGGTTTACAGTACTGTCAACATTATAGCTGACCAACACTGCAGGGGACATATTTGCTCTAATATACCGGGGTACGAAAATGCACTGAACATGGTACTCAATAGTGACTCCAGAAAGACTAAGCAAAACGCATTAAAACGCCTTCATCTGATTCTGTAAAACAGTATTTCCAAAAACTCAACAGTCGTTCAGCTGGAACACCCATTCGGTGCGTAGCTTTTATTCCACCTTTTGATGTACGAGGGCGTAGACACTGTTAGCTTTCCAAAACCCAGACGGGAACAATGGAAATCCTGAGACTGCGTTCGAAATCCTTAGTTCATGCTTTTATCCTTAGGCCATCGCCATCTCACGAGAATGTTCGTCCTTTTGTTGCGACAGCTGCATGCCGTGGAGTTGAACGGGATCCTCGCCCACATGCATTCAAAAAAAAAGTACAACAAAATGGTGCTGTACGTGGGGGCTTGCTTTTCTGGCTCTTTGTTTCGAAATATTCTACCTCGAAATGTGGGAAGTAAGTAGCTTAAATTTTTGGCTGGTTGTCTTGGAGATCCTGAGTAATCGAAACAAAGTTCCAAGCTTATTTCATTCTTGTCTTCTTTGTGATCCTTGTTGGGAAGTACTTTCGGCCTCTACGCAACAACCTTTTGGCCGAGGATTGCACAACATTCAGCCTTAAATGATTGTTGTCGCTTCTGCTGATGAATTAGTTGCATATCGGTGGAAGAAATCATTGCGTAACCCGGAAGAACCCCTATGATATTTTGGTGTCCCTGTCCAGCAAGCACCATTGCAGTTGGATACCATCATTGTAGATTATGAATGGATCGTGGCAATTTTATAAAATGTACAGTTCAATCCTTCAAACAACAGGTTAGATGCCTGCATTCAACTAAAACACAGATTATACATTCAGGTACTGATTTCAGTTTTTACGAGCTGACCCAAAGGAACCCATGCAGTCTGTGTTCAAGAAGGAATTAGGTTATACGGAAAGTCGAGGTCTTCTCCTACCTGATTCGTCCCAAGAGGCGTGAAAACCATGAAATCTGACAACGAGGTGTCAGAGACCTTCTGAGAATTGTGTCAGTTCCAGATTTCATGCAGAATCACAGGATTAGTTTGCCAATAATTTGCTTCACTATTTTACGCATGTTTGATAGTGACCTATATTGTCTTTTGTTTGCAGTCTACGTGACAACATCAGCCAAGGAAAATGAAAAATCCTGGTCTATTCATTGTGACGACATTGATATCGATGCGTGTCTAGCGAGCGAATACGCGTACGCTTGGATCAGTGATTCGGAATACGTAAGTATTAGCAAAACTGCTGCAGATAAACCCATCATTTTTGGATGGATAATCCGGTGTAAGTCAGGAGCCAGTGGTAGACCACTTGGTACCGTAGAAAACTTCTTTGTTTAGTCCTAATGTGTTAGCTATAATCTCTTATTAAATATATATCTTTGGATTAGAGTGGGGCCAGGTATCTTCTGGAGTCTGCAAATACTAATGACATTTGTGAACACTCAGGCCAAAGTTTTGTTTTCGCTTCTGGAACTTGTTTGTTATGCGCCGCACAGATGTATGTTTCTCATCTTATCCCCCACCCGTCTTGCACGTGGATGCTTACGCCTATCCAACAAACATTCTGGTAAGGAAAATTTCGGCAACACGGCCTTTAACGGTTCAGCCAACGTGAACGTGTCCACTCATTCCAAAATTCAACCTCCGAATACAGATCAAACACATGTAGTCATTTCCGGTTTAGTTTAACTTGAATCGAGCTGGGGAAAGTGTCTACGTTGGCCTGTATCCCAGCAGTAATTTCTTTCAGTGGTACAGCGCTCTTTGTGAGATTGGTTATAAATCTTTTATAAACATTTCAGCTAGCAAATTACTACTCACCACATCCACAAACATCACCAACAGCGCCAATACCAACTTGGTTTGAAGCATGAAAAAGGCTTATGCGAATTCAGCAATCACGACCGCACGGTGGCTCCAAAATAAGGAAAGCATTAGTTTGGTATATAAGGTTTCTCACTATCCTGCCGACCACGCAAACATCTGACTTTGCAGAGGTATGAAAATGTATGCATAGGGATATGAAAGAGTCTATCAAAAGTCTGGTTGCCAACGGTGTACCTCGCCCCCTAAGACGTAGGCTGCCTGAGTGCCACCATGTTCGGGTATTTTTTTAGAAATTGTGCCCTTGATTTGGTAGACTTCTTGTTGTCATTTTCGATTCAGATTGCCTGAGTGAGTGTCTTGGGCTGCCGGGGCATCGGAATTATCGTGGTTGTCCAGCACCAAGTTTTCCCCATCCATTTTAATTCCTTTTTTGGAGTAGGACTTTAAATGAATTCGAGCGCGCGCAGGGAATCGTCAGGTTTGAATAACTCGGGTGTCTTCATTCTGGTGATAGTTTCCCTGTTTTGTCTACATTAAATCAATCTTTAAATTGCGTAAGCGAATCCGCATACTTCACCTAGCCTCCCTTTGTCATTTACTCTCCCTCACGCGCAGCATGACTTGAAAAGGCGTACCCTGGATCAACAGTACGAGGAGGTGAAAAAAAGGTTAGCAGATAGTCACGCGATGAAGTACGGTGAGATGGTGAGTCACACGCTGTCACGGAGAAATTCAGCTGCGTTACTTGTGAAAAACCAAACTGTTATGAGAATGAGATGACAGTTGCAATTCGTCATCTTTAAAATGTGGCGGTCAATTTCGAAGATAGCTGATTTCAGATTCCATAGACAAAGTTCAGCAAGGTTGCCAGTCCAGGCATCTTGATATCCAAGCCCAGCTAGTGTCATTTTCCGGATAACCAAGCAATGGCATTGGTACTGTATGCAAAATTCGTTCCCGTGCTATCGTGCAAACGGAAGTCAAAGCTTTATGAATCAACCACAAGTAACTCGGAGGAAGAATGAATTTCCACGACGACTGAAACTTACACCTGAAAAGTTAACACTCAAGCAGCCAGTCAATACATGGTCAGGTTATGTTGTTTTCCGTGATTGAACGACGAGTGAGGACTTGTGCCGTCTAAATGAAAGCCTATCACAATGCAGCTGAGTCCCTTGTGGCAGACCTTTTATCAGTTCCCTACTGGAGTGAGATACGCACTTTTTCTCACTCTCAATAAAGAGGAAACACCTGTTTAGTGCTCGGTTTTTCAGCCTAGATTGGCTTCACTGAAAGGCAAAATGTTCATTCAAATAAGCAATTTCTGCTGGGCAGCAATAATTGGAATTGTCAAATAACATGGGTACAGACGATCGATAGAAGCACTTCAGGGACTCATCGTGATGCGATTCAAGGTTAAACTATACTATGTGACGACGCCGTTAGTGAACTAGCCACCTGCGTTACGTGATTCAGGCATATGCTGAACCAAGCACACATTCAAAATACACATCGACCCGTCGGATACTGCGTTTCGGTACAATTCGCAGAAATTTAATCAGTGTAGTTTTGAACTTCGTCACGGACATGGACGAGCAAAATTAGGTGATAAGACATGTGATTCGGTGGAATTAATGTTCACCGACCAATCGGATTTTTCAAAATGAACAAGTGAGTACTAAGTTGTAAAGCTACGGTTGCAGGTTGCATGGACCAGTATGCCATCTTAGGTGATAATACACTGATAGGTGTCTATTTATTGTTTATTTCAGGCGATAGGAAATCTCCCGGTTGGAAAATTCCAAGGTCATTATAATCTACCCATGCAACGGAATGACGGGACAATACTAGTATGTGCTCAGCGCAATGTTCGATACATGTTCAAATAAACAAATAACCACTCCATATTCCAATAACACTCTATTAAGTTGCCACTTCAGAGGCAGAAACGCCCACAAATCCTATTTAGTATCGCCAAAGATGGCTAATTAAGACCGACTCAGTAACCTCAATTAGAAGGTTCTCTTTTGATGGAAACAACAATTACTGCCAACAACGACGTTCATCCGATGGATAGATAGATAGATAGATAGATAGATAGATAGATAGATAGATAGATAGATAGATAGATAGATAGATAGATAGATAGATAGATAGATAGATAGATAGATAGATAGATAGATAGATAGATAGATAGATAGATAGATAGATAGATAGATAGATAGATAGATAGATAGATAGATAGATAGATAGATAGATAGATAGATAGATAGATAGATAGATAGATAGATAGATAGATAGATAGATAGATAGATAGATAGATAGATAGATAGATAGATAGATAGATAGATAGATAGATAGATAGATAGATAGATAGATAGATAGATAGATAGATAGATAGATAGATAGATAGATAGATAGATAGATAGATAGATAGATAGATAGACAGATAGATAGAGAGATGAATGGATGGATGGATGGATGGATGGAAGGATGGAAGGGCAACCGAGTGGTATTATGTAGTTTCTTCTTAATAATGAGTAGTCTAGTGAGACCATTCTTCCAGTCAGCACTGTCAGAACTCTTGTTGATAGTAAACGCCCCCCTTCACTTTTTTTTGGTTGCAGCGGAATGCTGTACATAGAAAACCCTCTTTGCAGGCGCATTTGTTTTCAAAGTCGCGACGTATAATGGAGGCCACAAGGGAGCAAGACCAGGAAGCCGCTTGGCGGAAGCTGCGCCGTGCAATTCAGGTTTGTATTTTGTTTTTCTTATTCCACTAATCGCCAACAAAAACTGAAAGCACGATGAAAGTTGACTTTAGTTAAAACTCGTGTTGTGTAGTAGAGACTAGGTGTTGCGAAAACATGGGAGCAAATAAACCGTATTCAGTCCTGCATTATAACGGTCGTCTCATGGTGCTACCCAAAAATCCAACTTGGTTTGTTTGGTGTGCTGGAAGCCTTCTATATTCTTCCAATAATCCCCCATAACCATTCTTCCCGCTTCTTTCAGCTTGGCCACATCGTCATGGAGACGTTTCGCGACATCGTCAGGGTCGTGACGACCCACCATAAGCCACCTCTCAAGGGCTTGTCTAAAACGGACGAGCTCGTGTGTTTTCAGACAGTATTCGATCAATTCCGGAAGCACTGCTTCACAATTCAGCAGGTAAGTTGACCTCCTGAGATACGGAAACATGGGCTTGCATACATTACTGGCAAATGCATTCACCCCTGGCGTCACGTAAGTCGAGCCATGTTCCCAAAACTACGTCCAAATAAACCACAAACAAACGACCTTTACGGTTGGAACTTTCGGGGCAAATCCGGTACTCTCATCACTAGCATATTCGTTCTATTCTTAGTTCTATTCTTAGTTCCTTAGTTCATCAGTTTGTGAGCTGTTTCCAGAGCAGGGTAATATCTTAATTCGTTATCACAAAGGCGACTCATGAATGGCAGAAAGTGATTTGGGCAGTTCGGAATTTAAAAAAAAGTATGAGATGTTATTAGGTAGGATTTCCTATTATCTGGCATGTGCATATGTGCATACCAAGATTGACAGCAGCTCGCAAGCTTGCAAAAACCCTCCGATAGCCCACGACTTTATTAAGCTCATTAAGTAGGCGCAGTCCCGAGTTTCTGTCAACCTTATGTTCTACTTGACTTTAGTTCAGATCAGAACAGTTCAGATCAGTTCAGTTCAGATCAGATCAGTTCAGTTCAGTTCAGTTCAGTTCAGTTCAGTTCAGTTCAGTTCAGTTCAGTTCAGTTCAGTTCAGTTCAGTTCAGTTCAGTTCAGTTCAGTTCAGTTCAGTTCAGTTCAGTTCAGTTCAGTTCAGTTCAGTTCAGTTCAGTTCAGTTCAGTTCAGTTCAGTTCAGTTCAGTTCAGTTCAGTTCAGTTCAGTTCAGTTCAGTTCAGTTCAGTTCAGTTCAGTTCAGTTCAGTTCAGTTCAGTTCAGTTCAGTTCAGTTCAGTTCAGTTCAGTTCAGTTCAGTTCAGTTCAGTTCAGTTCAGTTCAGTTCAGTTCAGTTCAGTTCAGTTCAGTTCAGTTCAGTTCAGTTCAGTTCAGTTCAGTTCAGTTCAGTTCAGTTCAGTTCAGTTCAGTTCAGTTCAGTTCAGTTCAGTTCAGTTCAGTTCAGTTCAGTTCAGTTAATTTCATTTAAGTTCAGTTTGGTTCAGTTCAGTTCAGATCTTCTCAGCTCAGCCTAGATTAGTTCATTTCATTTCATTTCATTTCATTTCAGTTCAGTTCATTTCATTTCAGTCCAGTTCAGTTCAGTTCAGTTATGTTCAGTTCAGTTTCGTTCAGTACAGATCAGGTCAGTACAGTTCAGTTGATTTAAGTTCAGTTTTCCACCTCCACTGGCGAGCCACGTTGGCGTTCCTTGATTGGAAGTGACACGGGTCAGCCTTGATGAAGTGGTCCCTTGTTACAGAATGATCTGTGAGTTCAATGCTGCTGAGAAATAGAGTGAATCAAAATTTGACCAGCAATTGTGGCTGAAATTTTGTTCCAAACGCTGAATATTGAAGAACATCTACCGATCAAATTGGCGCTCATATAACAGAATGCTGGAACCATCAGTGTGGTAAAACAATAGAAGGGCAAGCCCAGTATGATACCCATAACTAATTAACTCGGATCAGTTCATATGGATCCCTTTGTTTCACTTTCACTGTGTGTCGCTGTTCCAATGTTTTGGCAACCACTCTAAAGGTTTGTTGACTCAATCTCTGGTTATTCTCTATACGCCGAGAACGGCCATTGTTACAGAAACCCGTTCGATTCCACCTGTAAGTTGTTTGCTTGAAAGGTCACGGATGCCCGCTGCTGGCGATGTTGTACTTACCAAGGTCCGACCTTCTGGACTGACGGTACTGTGCTCTTTTACACGTTTCCGTAGATGCGCAATTCTGCGAGTAATTTTGATATTTAAAATTGATCCAGGACAAACACGCAGCAACACACTTCGTTAATGTAACATCTGTCCGAGGAGTATATCATACGACTATTGATTTCAGAAATCGTTCAACACCTTCAATAACCGCATCGCAAAATTGTTGGTTCTCTCCGTTTATGAAGTGTTTGCTATGTGGTGTAAGATTTCCCTTTTTCAAACTACCGAAGATTTATTAAAGGAACTTGCTTTTGGTCAGTTGCTATCCATTCTCCCCATTCGGAGCAACCGATTGCATAAATGGCTGGACTGAGCATCGATTAATCACGTGTTGTCTTCGTACACAGCTTATCTCACCTGAGTGTTCACTAGAGATTCATTGAAGCTGCAAACACGCACGACTTACGAATACACATCAACAACAAGTTTGATGTCCATTATTTTCACACAACGGTAATTGTGATCAAGGGAGAATCTGGAGTAGGAACCAAAGGAATATATTCTGTACAGAGGATGCCCGGTGAAAAACATAGGCGTTCTACTCGTTCGTCTGATTTAATGCGATTTGATCTAATGGCCGTGGATGGTTAACCGAAAAGAAAATAAACGATTCCCTGTACGAATGACTAACTTGCGTAACCTCATCGGACTATCAACAAAACCAATCCGTCCAATTCGGTCTCAAGTAGAACAAGATTTTTAAAGAAAATCTGAAACGGCGACTGCCTAATGCGTCACAAGTGGGGCAAAACCGGACATAGTTTTACTACGTATTTTGTTTCCTAGAGTTCACAGATTTTCACTCATCTGCTACTCAACTAAAACATCTCGCATGGTCTAAGCTAGCATCATGGGGGTTTATATCAAAGCTCTTCGAAATGTCTCTAAAATACTGAATTCTGTTGGTGGACTTTGGGATCAATCATGAACGAAGGCACTTTCGTGATCTTTTGAAAGCATTCTTAGTGATTATCAAAAACCCGTGCTCAACAGGTGGGAACCTCAGTCATTCCTATGCGTTGTGAACATTCAGGTTTCCTAGCTGAGATCCTGTTATTTGTTTTCAGGTCCGCGAGGTAGCCCATCACACACCACATTTGATGGCGCTATGCAAAGCCGGATACATGGCTCAAACGCTCATTGACTCTGTATACAACGTCTGTTCTTAACCGACACGCGTCGCATTTTGTGAGTTTGCCAAAATAAAATGAATTGCTGCTGGTCACTACCGTGTTTTCCTATGGTCACAAAACATGGGTTGTGTTTTCCCATCAAGCAAGTCATCCATAAATCATACGGTTAAGAATCCGAAAGCATTCAGGCAAAACCGTCCGGATTCTCAGGCCCTGTGAACCCATCACGACGTCTACAAAAATCTGACGCATTAGTACACGATAGATTCACAGGACGAGCAAAAATAAGCCAGGTGGCCGACCCATGTAGAACAGTTTTTTTGTCGTCTGCCGGCTCAAACACGCTACTCAAATTTAAATTTTTAATGCTTCGGTGGTTTAAAACTTCATCGGCACTTGGCTGAGGTTGTTTATTAGGAGACAGTTGGTCTACCGATCAGATTGGTAAAGAGTCTTTTGGACTATCTGTTTTGGCGGTTGACCTTTTAAGAAAGGGTCCACATGATGTTGTTGAATTATGTTCACAAACTGCCTGATGCTCATGCGCGTGGTGCGGGACGGGACCGACACCAGGCCATATGCATCTCGTCCAGAATCTTCATCCACTTACCCGAAAGAAGATTTGGATAAAATCGATGCGCAGTACCGCACAGAAATCGGCAAACCGGAGAGACCGATCACCAGGGGATGAAGAATAGATGCTTAGGAACTGATCGATAAAACGCCACGCGACACAAAGGGCCGAGTGTGCACACGGTTGATACATGACACAATCTGTATGACTTTTAATGAGATGACCTGCTACCCATATGTACGCGGAAAAAGCTTCAGCAACTCATTAGAAATCTCACCGTTCCGAGTTAAATTGAACAGGCTCAGAATGTGATGCTCAAGTGAAACAAATTTGATAGGAAATCCAAGAGGAATCAACGCCACAGAGCAGATGCGGTGTGCCAGTTTGCTCACACGTTCCACGGATGTCTATCTTGAGACTAACGTATCAAATTCATTCGGTAATTGAAGTCATTCTTCATTTTACCAGAGCTGTCAACCCACAGACGGCGATGGAATGAAATTTAGACTACATTGTACAAACAATCCTACACTGCACTGAACTAGATTATGTTTGGAGCTGGGTGGAGGCAGACCACTATATAACACCAGCACGGAATTCGTCGCCATTCGCTAAATGGTAAGGAATGAAGGAATTGGCAATAAGCAAGCCGAGAATCATGGAATTCCCGTCCCGTTAAATTTTCTTGATATGAGTTTATATGAGCAGCAGTTGCACCATTTCATTTTGTCGTGAGGAACGTGTTTCATCCGGGCAATCCACTGGTACCTTAGGGCATTCAAAACATCATAGGCTGGGCATCCCGCCAACACCCCAACTGAGACGGCAATCCGAATACTCCGGTTACACAGAATTGACGATTGATTAAAGCCGCCAACTGGGGGAACTCTTCAACTATACCTCGTCGTTATGTAAATGTCAGAGTGAAATAAATGGAATGACACCGTTATATCAAAGGGATTTCGCCACTCATGTGCCAGGTTCCAGGAGGAACTCCCCAATAAGTGCACACAATTGATTTATTCCAAACAAGCGTTTCCGTGCGAGTGCAATTTGAAGGGCCCTTTCTGGCATTAAGCTCGACACACTGATGGCGTTCAGTGAACACCAGCAACATCGATCCTGTTTCTGTGAGATGCCTGGACGCTGATCATATGCGGTCGTGATAGAGGACTCATTGGACTTTGCTGCGTTGTTTGAATGATTGACCGGCCTGGATGTTTACTGGATTTCCTATTCAGAATTAAGTTGAGTTTTAGGTTCTCAGTTGGTTCCGATAATCCTTGGGTTACCTTCAGGAATTCGACGTTCCTGATACAAATACTCTCATTTGCACATTAACTAAGTCTTACCGGGTGACTCCACTTGACCAAAATAATTTTCTCGTGTATATTTGTCTCTATAAACTGGATTGTAAATTAAACTGCATTTCAGAATTTTATTCAATGATGAGTTAATTCATTCCTCGCAGTGCGCAAATTACTCGTGGTCTTAGTTGTGTCTCAAGGATAAATCACCCAAGTGTTGCTGCTCACGAGGTTGGCTAGAACACTGTATGCAGGAGTATGATATTTGACCCAATCGAAATTCCCGGGACTAGCTAAATATTAATTGGCATTCTGTTTCCTGAGACTGCAGGCTAACTAACGTAAATGCTGTCTTTCGCTTCGCACAATACAAGACATAAAAATGAGCAACTCGCTTGGAACTTAACATGTCATGTTTTGCCCGGACTGGCTGTGCTACGAAAAAGGCAGGAGTGAATCACGCACCACGGTCCAGCCCCCCACCCTGCCGAGGTTTTAGATTTACAACTGAGGCCATAGAACAACTGTCAGATACCTCCTACTTGAGTGAGAGATTGTCACTATAGAGCCCGAGATAGTTCGGTGTATAAGGCGCAGACTTACTGGCTGGAGGTTCCGTGCTTCTGGCCCAACCCTGGGATTTCGGCTGCCCCTGTTTTAAATTGAGGAATATCGCAACCCTCGTGCATTTTTGAGTGGCGCAGTACAGCTCCTGAATGATTGACTGATAATAATTATTTTCATTACACGTGAATGCTCGTAGTTATGAGGTATTGCGCAACAACTATGGGAGGTGATCTTCACGTGGGCGAAAGTATTATTCCAGGTGTAACTATTAGCGGTGGTCGTAATAAATGTCTACCGACGCTAACAAAGTATGACGCCATGAAATTATAAAACTGATGACGGGAGGGTAAATTTGTCATCACTGACTAGGAGTTTGGATGGATGTGTCACTTTTGACCAGAAAAACATAAATTCATCGACAAATCGGCGACTAATCGGAAACTTGGGGGGAACGGCAATGATCACATCATGCGAAAAGTGAGAATTTGGCGGCTTACAGAGTCGTTCCCGGTGGACGAATTAAGGATAAAAATGCATTTATGGCTTGACGCGCAGAGCACCGCGCCACAGAAAATCTTCAGGGCATCAACAGACACCACTATGGCCCAAGACGGATGGCCACACCTCTGGCATGTATTCATGTTTTCGAGAAGAGATGAACAAACTGAGCAAATGAGACCTGACTGAAGGAAATTCTGGAGCACATTTATGGAACAATTTTGGTAGAATATCATTCAGACCAGAAGGCGTTTGGCGAGAGTGGTGGAAACAATTTGGAGTTGCAAAGAAAATTGGGACGGGAGAAATGTTAGAACGTTAGTATGAAGAAACGTGACGCTACAAACGTCGGCACGAATTTAGCAAGAGCTTGTCGTGATCTTATCTATGAAGGGTGGGAGATATAGTTTCCGCACGTATACCGATATAGCCAGACGAACTTGAAATCCAAAATACAGCACAGCGTATCAAGCAGCACGTGTGTGTTCCAACTGGCGTATGTATACGTCATCTAGAATAATGCACTCAATGCGCCCAGGCGACAGGACCATGCAGCAAGAGCATCTGATCAGCCCACTGTACGACATGCTCGGGCAAAATCGAGTATCCGAATGAACCAAGGAAGCACATGAGGATTTTCATCCTGTCAAAGCGTGGATGCCGGATAAGTAGACGACCCTCAAACTTCCCAGGGTCGAACATCTGTTGAAGGTTGCAGAGGACGCCAGTGATTATTGTGTCGGCACAGTCCTAAAGCAGAAGAATGGTGTTATCGACTAAGCCAGTCTTTTCTTGACCAACGCTGAGGACAAGTATTCGGTGAGCGAGAAATTATGCTGAGCGATTGTTTTTGCCATGGATATGTTGGGACCACACCTGCTTGGACAAAGCTCTCATAACGAAAGTGATCCATAGCCCCCAGAGTTAGATGGAAGAAGTATTAAGATCTGAGACGGAAACAAGTAATTGGAACCGTTTTTGAATTACTCGGATGGGTTAAGCAGAGTGAATCTGGCATAATTTCTTGGAACACCACCGATTCTGAGGTTGTGCTGCACATGACACTGCGCGTCTTGAGACGGAAGCTGATTGTCAAGTGCCACGTGATGACACACACAGAGGTTAGACCAAGACACACGACTTACTACGGCCAAGGGCCTAGTGGCCCAAGATGAGAGATGAGATGGATGATGTGGTGTCATGCAAGTGCTGCCAACTAATGAAAGGTGATAAGGCAGGGGCAACACAGCCCGTGGAGCCGACTGCTGTCTCAAAAATCGTCTACATCTGAACCGTTGGAATCGTCTTCCCCTCCCCTGTGAGGACCGGTGGATATCAATATATACCTGTCGAAATGAGTAGACGCGGCATCCATGTCAAATCAACGAACAGGGACCATCAGCGGAGTGGTTATGCGTCACATCCTGGCCAAACATTGGATGCAGAAAGTGATCCCAACCCATAAAAGGCCTTGCCTTGAGACCGAGCAGCTCAAAGGCTGACGAATATGCAATCATTTGTTGACTAATTTGTTTTTTTGAGAGATACCCTGAAACCAACTACATCTCTCGTTTTTGACGTTCCCGAGCAACTGAATTTGCTGCACCAGGCCGCCCCACGTTTCGGTGGCTACGATATTCGAGATATATCGTGGTACATATATATTTGTAATGCGCTTTTCACAAGGTGGCTGGGAATTTGTCGACAGCCAACGACCGGTTGTGCCCTTCTTGGGGCTCAACAGATAGGCGCAGTCCCCGATTAAGCGGTGACGGGCGACCGAAGCGGACGATTGGTGTCAAAGATTTTGCTGGCACATCCTGCTTGCATACAACCAACCAAACGGCCACGGTGATGCATGGTCGATATCCGCATCTTCTGGTTGATTGGAAAATTGGGTTACGGCGGGTATCACTTGATTACAATTGTATGATAGTCTGTGAATATCCGGAGAATTTCGAGAAGCCTCCTTCACGAAGGCGGATAATGGTTTTCCTAAAAACAAGGTGCACGAAAGAGTTTATCACCTATCTAAGTGCACTTAATGTTCTCTGATAAACGCCTTCGCGGCGAAAGGCTTCCCTACTTTC